CACGCCGTCGGGTCGTGGCGCCCCTCTAGGGACCCCGAGGGCCCGAGTCGGGACGCGCGCACGTGGGGGCAGGACAGGTGTGGCTGACCTGGGGGTCCAGCCGCCTTCGGGGCCCGGACACCGCTTCCCGGCAGACCCGCACTGGCCTGCTCCGCCAGCGCTGTCCTGGACCTTCCCCGACACGCGTGGGGCTGCGCTCACTGCCCTGCCGGCCAGCGCTTCCCCACCAGCCTCCCTGGCCCTGCAGGACACGCCCCCCACGCCCGACACGCCCCCACCGCCCCGGCCCACACAGAGCTGGACCAGCAGGTGGCGCCAGGGGGCCACAAAGGGCGCCTTGCAGGCCAGGAAGTGGCCACGCGGGCCTCCCACGGCCCAGCGCAGCTCACCATCGGCCCGACAGCACGATCGTGGTCTGGGGTGACCGGCGGGGTCCAGGAGGAGGCCTTCGCCATGACGCCCGTCTCACAGGGGCCAGCCCGCCCCCGCCCCCGCAGCAGCCACCTGCCGTGGGGCCGCCTCTGGCCGGCCCTGCTGGCCCCTGCTCCGGGCGCTGCAGGCTCTGTCACTGTCCACCCCGGCAGGCATCCTGGGGGGTCCCTGGCACGGGGTCCCACGCCCAGTCTGCACGCTGCTCAGCCCCCCGCCCGCCCGCTGTCCTGGCCAGCCCAGCAGGAGCCCGGCCGCCCCTGGCCACCCTTCACATCGCAGCCACGCCTGCCAGCAGCTGCAAGCCCAGAGGCCACCTACCCAGGCCCACGCGCCTGCACCTGCTCGGGGGGCAAAGCCCAGGACCCCCATGCCGTCCCCCAGGCCAGAGCCTGCTGGAGCTTGGGCAGAAGCTGCTCTCGCCCCAGGAGGGCCACGCAGCCGGCGCCTGGGGAGCGAGCTCGGATGGGCCACTGGCCACTTCCTTGGTGGCCAGGCCTTGGGGTGAGCCACGCCTTCGGTGGGCCACGCCTTGGGGTGAGCCAGGCCTTGGGGTGAGCCACGCCTTGGGGTGGGCCAGGCCTTGGGGTGGGCCACGCCTTGGGGTGAGCCACGCCTTGGGGTGGGCCAGGCCTTGGGGT